AATAATAAATCTGAACAAATTATAGTATTTAGAACATTTTTGGCTTATAAACTAAAATTTTAATTTTTTGGAGTTTCCTCCTTTTCTATTGCAAAGACCCCATATGACTATAATTATTAAATTAGATATTTTTAAAAAGAAAAAAATCGGTCAAAAAATATATTAAAAATAAGTAATTTCAATATATTACTATTTTAAAATCCAAATAAAATTACGTAAATAAAATTATAATTTTATCATAATTTTGAGAAATTATATCAAAATCTATCCAATTAATATTTAATAAGGTAATAACGCATTATCTCCTATCACCTATATTAGAAATGTTTAGGATTTTTAATTAACATATAATTATGATTATAAATAATATGTGATTATAAATAGGTAATTATAAAAAAGTCTATAGAATATTTTTTTTTCAGATAATTAAAATATATGATTATTATATTAAGTAAAATACAGCTAATTTTAAATATTTTTGTTTATTTTATAAGTATAATAAAAAATAAATTTGATATGATCAAATATAACTTAATAATGAAAATCAAAAAAATAAAATTTATTTAATTATAATATATTATATTATTATTAATTTAATTTAATTATAATATATATAAAAATAAATAATTCTTATTATTACTAATGAATAAAATATAAAATTTTGATTTTAATGAATTACATATTTTATTATAAATTGTGAATATTTTTTTAAAATATTTTTTAATTAAATTATTATAATAAAAAATTTGTAAAATAAGATTTTTAAATATAATTAAATAAATTATATAAGCTATTAAAATTTATTTTAAATTTTTAATATCTAAAATTTAAATGAAGTGGATTTGATAATTTTAGCTAAAAAAAAAAAATAATTTTCAATTAATAAATTTATTTAAAAAAATAAGAATAAAAATTAAAAAATTATAATATAAAATTTATAAATATATTATATAATAAAAAAAAAATTATACTTAATAAATTTGAAAAAAATGAATTAAACTTTTTTGTACCTAACAATTTTTTAGTAAAAATATTAATTTTAAAAAGATATATTTATATAATATATATTTTAATTTATAATTTAAAATAATGTAAATTTTTTTTTTTTTTTAATAGGTAGAATTAATCTTATTAAATTATAATATATTATTTATAAAATATATTATAATTTATAATACATTTATTACTTTTAATAAAAATTTCATATTATTAATAATAAAATATACAATAAAATTAAATAAATTAATTTTAATGTTTTTAATATATTATGAATTAATTAATTATAAACTATTTATATTTTATTGCTAAAAATTATAAAAAAATATATAGAATAATTGAATCTTAGTAAACTTATATTGTATTTTTAGATTATAAAGTTAAATTAGAAAATTCATTTATTAAACTGATATATAATATATATTATAATATCAAATATTTATTTAATTTTTTTACTTCTATAAAAAATCTACATAAAAATTTGTAAATTCTAATGTATTTTGTTTGGAGAATTTTTCTTTAAAATATCAGAAATTTGTTTTTTTGTTATAAGCAAATGTTATTAATTAATCTTTAATAGTAAATCCAATTATTGTTTATTTAATTTACTAAATTCAATATGTTATAAAACAGTTTAAACCCATTTTCCAAAACAAGTATGAATATCTTTATTATTTTAGATTTCTGCAATTACATTTGATCACTATTAAAAAATTGTTGAATTTCATACATTTTTTCTATTATATTTAACAGATTTAGTATATTTCTCTATACCTAAAATAAATAAATCATAAGAAGGTATTGACATTATGTTTGAAAAAAAAAAAAAAGTGAAAATGTATAAAAGAAATATTAATACAACCAAATTTCAAGTAAAAAAATTTTTCCGCTTTATTAAAAAAAGTAATAATTAAAGTCAATTTTTGGGGATTTAAGGCGCAAGAAAATATTTTCCAGGCAATAATAATTGGTGGGGAAATTCGGAAGACAAAAAAGAACGTAAAACATAAAAGATAGGAAAACTTTCATACGTCATGTTTAAAATTTTGTATTTTCCATTTTTCGAACGCGAATCTAAAAATTTGATTTTCCCAACCTTATATCAAAATAATAATTTTATTGATAATTAAAAATCATTTTATTGTTATATTTTCAAAATATAATAAATAATGATTTATTTTATAAAAGAATTCTATAACTAAAATGTATAAAAAATAAATAATGAAATAAATAAATAATAAATAAGCTATTCACATAATCATGTATATATCTGTTTCACTTCGTTTTTTAAAGTATTTTTTGCAGGTTTCTTTACAATTTGAAATACTTCGTAATCTTCAATTTCAAATTCTTTCGGGATATTCAATTTAGGGTAGGAAGATGGAAAAGACCTCCATTTACCATTTGGCCTCATCATTATACCATTACCACCAACTTCCGGATTTTGATCTTCTGGGGAAACTTTATCTGCTTTTTTGAATACAGACAAATTGGTTACGTAAGAACCAAAGATTGGTCCATAATTACTGAGACATTGCACAGCACAATCTGAATTCACCACTCTGCCGATCTCTCCCGTATTAATATCTCTATAATCGTCGAATGAGAATATAAAACTATCAGATGTACCTTTGACTCCATTTCCTCCCCAATTAAGCGGATTATAACCTCCGACTATTTGATTTGAATTTATACATGAATTTTTAATCTTTGCAATAGTGATGGTACAATCTTTCTTGTCACATTTTTTATGAAATGATTTTGCATTAAATTTATCTTTACTACCTCGATATAAAAGATTAAACTCATAAGGAACAGCTTTAATGTGTTTTGAATTTGCTTCTTTCTTATCGATCCAATTTGCAAATTGTATAAAATGCAGATGATTAATTAGTTTCGAATCAAATTTATCGCATTCGACAGATCTTGAAGTTGTGTTATACGTTGGAGTGTATCCGGTAGCCATATGAAATTTTAAAATATCATCCTTTAGCTCCTTGGATAAAATTTCATCAAAAGGTTTGACCTTGTTAACATAATCATTCGAAGAAATATCATGAAATCTAATTAATGGAGCTATTTTATGAAGAATTTTTTTAAAGGTATGAAATTCTTCTTGTTGCCATTCAGAAACGTCTTTGTTGAGAGTTTTATCTTGCGCTGATCCCCATTTAATTAAACTTTCCCAGATTTCGATTTCTTCCAAATTTAAGTCATCTCGTTTTAAAATGACTTCTAATATATGGTCGGGTAATTGAATGAATTTATCGGAATTGAATAAAATTTGTGGTTCAAAACAAATCGTTTCCAAACTAAATTCTTGTAATTTATTAAGGGATTTATGGTGAAAAGCAATTTGGAGAATTCCAACCGGATCATCTCGTAAGTATTGAGAATGTTTCTCAATAATGTAATCTTCAACAATTTTAGTTAAATTTTCCAACAAGAATTCATCCGAAGCAACTATTATATTCAACAGCTCACTTCCACTTTT